GAGAGAGAGAGAGAGAGAGAGAGAGAGAGAGAGAGAGAGAGAGAGAGAGAGAGAGAGAGAGAGAGAGAGCGCCAGAGAGCCCTCCTTTGGGGCCAGGATGAGCCTTGAGGGGCAATGCGTGTGGGTGTGTCTTTAGTGCCAGATGTGTCCACCTTAGGGTCACCTTTCACTCTCTCCAGACACCCCCTCCCAACTCCCTTCATTATTCAACTCCGGATATCAGTATACATTTCTTATAGTTGGGAGTTACTATGGCAACCCTGCAGAAGGATGCTTTGATTTTTGTTTTGGCCAGATATGGGACTGGCTGGAATAAAAACATATTCTCCTGCCTCCCCACATCAATACACCAATTTTAGGTCTGAACTACTGGGAAGGGCCTGGGCAGGCTTGGGTGGTGCAGATGGTTTATGTAACATCAACAGCCTGTGGAATTATACAACCACCAGGGCCTAGGGAGAAGGGGGAGGGTCCTCTAGCCCTCCGTTTAGAGGTGCTAAGGATTCAGCTGGGAAAACAGTAGAAGGCCCTCCCCACACCCTGCTTTTTCCTTTGATACCAGCCTCAGAACTAATGGCATCCCTCCTCAGACCCTCAGACCCTCTGTGTTCAAGCTCCTCAAAGGCCTCAAAATGATGTCATTGAGTGATACCACTTCCTGACATTGGCCACTTGGGAATGCCTTCTGTGAGAGGTGGTGAGGTCCCAGAGGTTTGGGGGTGGGGTGAGTGGAAAGGTGGGGCTACGACAGCTTTCTTAGACATGGCCCCCCTCGTCTATGTAATGAAGGGAGGCAGGGAGCCTGTGTTCCGGGTCCCATTTCCAGGAGGCAGGAGACACTGAGCTGAGCCTGGGGAAGTGGAGCCTCCCCTTCCACACCCAGCCCATTCTAGCAGTTAGGAGCTAGCTCCAATTCCTGTCCTAGTGGTAAGGTGCTTCAGCTCTTCAGCCCCTTGCTCCCAGATTTCCACAGTTTATTTTTAGGGGGTAGGGTGCTATAAGCCTTCTGAGGTCCAATGGTCTCTGGGCTATAGAGGGAGTGAAGTCAGGGGACTCCTCAATTGTCTCCCTGCAAGGACCACCCATATTCTTCAGCAGGACCTCCTGCAGCCAGACTGACGTTGCCCTTTCTGAGGTCAGGCCTTTCTTTGATTTCTCTTGTCTTCATACTCTCTGTTCCAATGTTTCCTTCCGTGACCCTTAGAGATGTCACTGTCTCACCAAGCTGCTGTGTCCTCTGTGTCCACCCAGGGGGCATAGATTAGTGTAAGTGGACTGGAGTTCTTAACCTGCCCTGTACAGTTCCCCCTGGGTCTCCCTCCGTTCTTTATCGCACAGAAAGAAAGGGGCTAAACTGTCTTCTGCAGCTCTACCAGCAATGATGTTCCGATGTTTTGTTCTGGCTGAGGAAGGCTGTCTCTGCAGGAGCTGCTCTCCCTCTGCCTCACAGGCTCATCATTTCCCTCCTGCCTCACCGTCCCTGTGCCTCTCCCCTCCTGCATTTCCAACCCAACAGAAAGCAGCCAGTCCCCAGGGACTGAGCCTGAGCCCTGTGGCCCTGGGCACCACATGTGGCCCTGGGACTTTAGACTCTTTCTGATTCCGAGTTTCCTCGTTTTTTAAACTGGTAGAACAGCCAGGCATGGTGACACACAGCTTTAGTCCCAGCACTTGGGAAGCAGAGGCAGGAGGATCTCTGGGAGTCTGAGACCAGTCTGTTCTACAGAGCAAGTTCTAGGACAGCCAGGGAGACTTCGTCTCAAAAACAAACAAATAACCGAGAAATAATGATAATGCAAAATAAAATTGGTTGGATACAGTGAGGAAGTTGGAAAGACAACGAGACAGGAGAACCTTTTGTTCAGAAATAGGGTCTCATATGGGTCAGGCAACCATAGGACCAGAGACCCAGTCCCTTCCCCAGATTGCCCTATGGCCTCCTCCTGCTTACTGTCTTACCTATCTTTTTCTTGACTGGCCCCACCCCTCTGAGCTCAGTTCCACGGGCTCAGAACCCAGGGGTGGGTCTTATCTGTCCCTCTCCCTAGCACAGGTTGGGAGAGCACCTAGGTAGATTCCAGGAATCAAGGGGCTGGCAGGGAGGACTTGCAAGTCTCTGTCCATGGCAACTGTCTCTCTCTGCCTCTACTCTACAGCTCTCTGTGGCTAACAAGGCCCCTGGGACTGAGGGGCAGCAGCAGGCAAATGGAGAGAAGAAGGATGCCCCGGCAGTGCCCTCGGCGCCACCCTCCTACGAGGAGGCCACCTCTGGAGAGGGGCTGAAGGCAGGGGCCTTCCCCCAGGGCCCTACGGCTGTACCACTCCATCCAAGCTGGGCCTATGTGGACCCCAGTAAGTCTCTCAGTGACCAAAGGTTGGAGGGGTAGAGGGAGCAGCAGGCACAGATGCAAAGCCTGTGGGAGGAAGTTGCAGACACCCCGTACTTGGTGTAGTTGTGCAGAACAGTAGTCAGTGGCTTTAGAGGATGAGAATGCTAAAAAGAGAAGAGGAAAGATACACTGCGGAGTACTCCCAGCGAGAGAAGAGGGGACTCTTTACAAATCACGGAGCTAAGCCAACTGGAGGACGTGATCAGGGACAAAAGCCAAGTTCTAGTCTAAGAAGGCTCTCATAGAGTCAGGCAGTGCTGGTGCATGTCTTTAATCTCAGCGCTTGGAAGACAGAGGCAGGCGGACCTCTGTGAGTTTGAGGTCAGCCTGGTCTATGGGGTGAGTCCAGGACATCCAATGTTATACAGAGAAACACCATATAAATAAATAAATAAAAATAAACAAATAAATAAATAAAGCCCTCACAGAAGGAAGAGACACAACCAGGGGTTGGAAGAGATCAGAGTGGTCAGGAAGGGCTAGCGAAAGTCTATATAGCAGCCATGATCTTGGCTCTGTGGGTGCCCTCTGGGTGAGGTACAGCATTTATATAGTGACTGGTCTGAAACCTTGGTGGGATCCTGCCTCTGTGCAGCTTAGGGTTGTCAGGGAGTAAGGAACTGGGGGTTCCCTTCCCAGTTTCTCTCATCCCTTCCCTTCCTTCCTCTGGGTTTTGCAAGGGGTGGGCAGGTACCGTGTCGGTAGGTGTGTGGGATCAAGCTACAAGGCTGGACAGACAGAAGTCACCATCTTTATCAATAGTGACATTCCAGGATCCCAGAAGTAGGACCTCGGCTGTCTGGCTGAGCAGCCTGCTGGACCATTGCCGCTGTCTATGAGGAGGGACCCTTAAGTCCTCCCGCAGGCTGGTGAGCTGGCTTAGCAGGTAAATGCACCTTGCCACAAAAGCCTGGTGACCTCAGTTCTATCCCCAGGTTCCAGGGCAGGCAGTGGAAGAAGAGAACCGACCCCTGACCCCTGAAAATTAGCCTCTGACCTCCACATGGGGTTCACAGCATGCACGCACCCAAATCGTTTTGGTTTTTTGTTTGTTTGTTTGTTTGTTTTTTGGTTTTTCGAGACAGGGTTTCTCTGTGTAGCCCTGGCTGTCCTGGAACTCACTCGGTAGACCAGGTTGGCCTCGAACTCAGAAATCCGCCTGCCTCTGCCTCCCAAGTGCTGAGATTAAAGGCATGTGCCACCACTGCCCAGCATAACGTAACTTTTAAAAAAAAGAATTATGTATTTATTTTATATACATGAGTACATTGCAGCTATCTTCAGAAGAGGGCATCAGATCCCATTACAGATGGTAGTGAGCCACCATGTGGTTGCTGGGAATTGAACTCAGGGCCTCTGGAAGAGCAGTCAGTGCTCTTAACTGCTGAGGTATCTCTCCAGCCCCATAACGGTTTTTTTTTTTTGGAGGGGGGGTTTATTTAAATTTCAGACCTTTCGGGGTTTCTCTGCTCCTCCTCCACAGCCCCTCCCCCACTGCAAGTCTCTCACTGCCCATAAAGTTCTAGAAGGGATCTGAGGACAATACTCCCTCACAGAGACTCTGCTCACAGAGCCCCTGCTCATGAGTGAGTGACCACCACGGTCCGTATCTCTTCCAAAAATACCCCTCGGTCCAGACCGCAGGTGTCTCACTCCAGTATGGCGTACTGGAAGGCCAACGCAGGTGGGGGAGTTCTTCGCCGTCTCGACTCTCCTGCACTGGTTGCTGGGATGGATGCTTTATTTAAGGACAACCCTCCAAGCCCTTATGGTGGAAGGGAGGCTGATCCTTGCAGTCAGCAGGTGACAAACATTCGGTTGTGGGAAGTGTCACGTCTGAGCTCATTCCTGGGGATGCAGAGTCCTGTCTGTAGCTCTGCTCTCCTGAGCTGACTGTCATGCATGTCTACCTTGGTGACTCAGGTGTGGCGACAGAGAGCCAAGTAGCTGACCTACCTATCGGACTCTCTGGGCTTCTGAAGTCTTTTTCTGCAGCCCCACTGTCAAATACCCCTTTGAGCCGCCCCTGTCACCCCACATCTGCCTTTCTGGTCTCTTCCTGCTCTCCCTGATCTGATTCCAAAATGAGCTATCTCCCACCCTCTCTCTTCATGATGGGTGGGGCTCCAAGGATCAAGCTCTGTCATATAAATGTCCCTTCCCTCGTGTGTCCCCGTTCTCTTCCCTGGACACTCCATCTCCTGTGACCAAGAGGCAGTAAGGTCTGGCTAATCTTCCCCCCTTCCCCAACAACAGCCTCTGCCTTAGTCTCTCAGAGACGACCATGGCCCTGCCCGGTTGAAGCTCTTCAACGGTTCCTCTCCTTCTTGTTACTCAAGTTCAAGTTCTTCTTTTGTTTTGTTTTCTTTTCTGTGATGTGGTCCCAAGCAGACCTGTCCGGTCTTGAACTCACAACATGGCTGAGGATGACTTTGAATTTCTAATTCTTCTGTTTCCATCCCCCCGACACCCAGCCTTCTCTGCTGAGCCAGCTCACCAGGCTGCAGCTGAGGACTTAAGGGTCCCTTCTCACAGACAGTGACAATGGTCCAGCAGGCTGCTCAGCCGGACAACCAAGGGGCCACTGCTGGGATCTTGGAACTGTCACCATTAGTGAAGACATTGACAACTTATGTCTGGCCAGCCAGTTAGGGAAGGTTTCCTATATTTATGTAGAGCTCTGAGGTGTATCTCGAGTTAGCATGTGAGGAGGAGACAATGAATGTCCCTCAGAAAGCACTTGGTGGGCCGGGTCCAGGAGCAAGTAGGCAGGTGGCTGAACAAATGTAGTCATGCTGAGAACACGGGACAGAGGAACGCTCAGGGTGAGGGGAAACTGGAAGGCTCTGCTCACCCTGGCATCCTGAAAGGAACTTAAACTTGCCTGGCATGGTAGCATATGTCTATACCCAGCACTCAGGGGATGGAAACAAGAGAATTAAAAATTCAAAGTCAGGGGCTGGAGAGATGGCTCAGCGGTTAAGAACACAGACTGCTCTTCCAGAGGTCCTGAGTTCAAATCCCAGCAACCACATGGTGGCTCACAACCATCCGTAATGAGATTGGATGCCCTCTTCTGGTGTGTCTGAAGACAGCGACAGTGTACTCATAAATAAAATAAATAAATAAATATTTAAAAAAAAATTCAAAGTCAGCCAGGCAGTGGTGGTGCACGCCTTTAATCCCAGCACTTGGGAGGCAGAGGCAGGAGGATTTCTGAGTTTGAGGCCAGCCTGGTCTACAGAGTGAGTTCCAGGACAGCCAGGGCTACACAGAGAAACCCTGTCTCGGAAAACCAAATAAATAAATTCAAAGTCATCCTCATCCACGTTGTAAGTTCAAGACCAGCCTGGTCTGCTTGAGACCATGTCACAGAAAACAAAACAAAAGAAGAACTTGAACTTGAGTAACAAGAAGGAGAGGAGCCGTTGAAGAGCTCCAACCGGGCAGGGCCATGGTCGTCTCTGAGAGACTAAGGCAGAAGCTGTTGTTGGGGAAGGGGGGAAGATTAGCCAGACCTGATGGGCATAGGAGAGGGTACCAGGGTAGATACATTCAGGGCTTGAGAATGGCCCTAAGGAGGGGCACAAGGGCAAAGACAGTGGAGCCTCCACTAGGCACAGAACATGTAGAATTTCTGTTTTATCTAACTTGATCTCTGTGAAGTGGACCCATTGCCCAAACCAAAAGAGCCTCAGAAGGCTTGGGGCCACACAGTTTGTCCCACAGGTTGGTAGATTCATCTGGGGGTCCATTTGGCTATAGGGTCTTTACTCCTGCAAAAGCCAGAGCTTTGGAACCAGGCCTGGACCCCACACCCTGTGCTCTCGCTCTTTCTGGACCTCCTTTCCCAGCAGCCCCCTGGTTTACAGTTGAGCATTGGCAGGCCCAGCTCTTCCACCCTGCATTCAGTCCCGACCCATGGGCCTTAGTGCAGCTGGAGTCAGGCAGGGTATTTGATCCCAGGACACATTGTCCGGCCAGGAGAACTGGCTGTTCCTTGCTGATTTGAAGCTGCTGGAATATGCAGGGGGGGAGATGGGGACACAAGAGGGAAGGGACATTTGTATCTCGGAGCTTGGTTCCCAGAGCCCCAACCACTGTGGAAGGAGAGGATGGGAGATTGGGAGATAACTCATTCCTGGAATCAGAGAGAGCAGAAAGTGACCAGAAAGACAGATGTGGGTGGACAGAGGCTGGGCAAAGGGGTATTTGACAGTGGGGCTGGGGAGAAAGACTTCAGAAGCCTAGGGAGCCTTTGACATTACTGTGTCACGTTGTGACATTGGCATGAAGGCTGGGTTGGCAGTGAACTCTCAGAGCCTCTACCTACCTACCCAGGCAGCAGCTCCGGCTATGAAGGTGGTTTCCCCGCAGGACACCATGAGCTTTTCACCACCTTCAGCTGGGATGACCAGAGAGTTCGCCGGCTCTTCATCAGAAAGGTGACCACTTCTTCCGTGCTGTGGGCTGGAGAGAGGGCAGTGAGGGTTTGGGACCCTGTGCGGGAACCCCTGGAAGGACCTTGTCCCAGCCTCTGCCTACAGAGAGCTTACCCTCTCTCCTGCCATCCCAGCTCATGGCTGCTCCTGGTATGTGCCTCTGAAGGCTCACCCAGGGCCCTTGCTCCTTGTCCCCTGGGTCGGTAGGCTGTTTCACCTGAGGGTTTGGCACCCTTCCTGTCCTTCCACTTGTCTGAATCTGCCCAGGGACCCTGTGAAGGAGGATGGAAGTATCCAATAGGGAGATCTGGATTCAAATGAGTCCCTGGGAGCTGGGGTCTCTCAAAGACTTGTTGGGACTCAGGGCTCCCCAAACTGATCATTTCCTTTCTCAGGTATATACCATCCTGTTGGTACAGCTGCTGGTGACTTTGGCTGTGGTGGCTCTCTTTACCTTCTGGTAAGTTAGCAGTGTGGACTGATGTCTTCCAGGAAGGCCATGGCTAGGCCTGGGGCGGGGGGACTCCATCAGACCTCTCCTGGAATGTCTACTTGGAAAGATGAGGGGCTGTTGATATCCTCATGGTCGGGAAGAATGTTGGGTATCATGTAAGAAGTTCCCCAAACAGTGCAAGGTCGCCCTGCAGGCTTCTGTGATGCTTCACTGGATATTGCTTCAGTCACCCTTCCAGGCTCCCCTAGGTCCCTGCCTGCCCGTCTAGAGCTCAGTCCCACCTCCCTTCTCTGATCCCATGTGGGGCAGGCATAGACATTGAGCAGAAAAAGACCTGGGGTAGCCTCTGACTCTGTCCCATCTTTTTCTACAGTGACGTCATTAAGGACTATGTCCAGGCCAACCCAGGCTGGTACTGGGCATCCTAGTGAGTATTCCCCACCCCAGGTTCCTTCCGAGAGATGCTCACTGTGCTCCGTTGAAAGATCCAAGCCATGATATTCCCACATCCGAGGGGGGAGGACCTCAAAGACCCCTAGCATGGCCAGGAACAACTTTTGGATTGCTCAGATCTGACAGCTAGAGGTCAGGGGCAGGTGGCAGTCTGGCCAGGGGCGGAGCTGGGGCCCAGGAAGAGAGAGAGCTGATACCATGACCCTTAGAGGGAAGGGGCCGGAGTATTTTGACCTTCTTTAATGATAATGTTGCTACTCCTATTAACATTGTTATTAATGCTTATGAAATTATTAATCATAAGATCCACCACTTAACAAGCACCTAATTAAGGGCTGGGCATTGTTTTGTGTGCTCAGTGTACAGTATTGCATTTCATCCTTAAATCTAAAAGGTATGATTACCTCAGAAGACCTTAAGACTCAGAGAGGTTGAGTAATTTGCCCAAGATCACACAGCTAGTCGGTGGCAGAGTTGGGTTCAAGTTAAGACTTGTGCTCCTAATCCCTCTGCCTGGCAGTCTCTCCTGCCCGCCAGGCACTTAGCTGACAGTAGTCCTGTATTCTTTAAGGAGCATGGCGGGCCATTTGTAAGAAGAATCTTGAGGTCGTAGGTGACTCGGACCCTTCTTCCTGGTAACTAAGGAATAATTTGGGATGTTTCCAGGCCAGAACCATCCTAGACTCAGAAAACTTTTCTTTCCATGGTCCCCAGTGGCATCCAGTATGAACCAGCCCTGTACTGGGGCTACTGGGCAGGAGGCCTCTGCTTATAGGAGGAGGTAGTGGGTGGTGAGTATGCAAAGGAGCTTGCGCAGTTGCCGGGGATGGATGATGCTGACTTCACATGGTGGACAGGGTTGGGAGCATCGCTGCAAGGGACTAGACTGACAGAAGGACAGAAGGATGTCCCAGAGAGCAGCAGGCCCCTTGGGGGCTAAGCATCAAGACAGAGCATGGCAGAGGCCAGCACACCAACTGGCCCAGCCTGTTCTTGAATAGGGATCCAGTGTGAAGCTGGGCTCAGCACCAAGTGCCATGAGCCACCAGAGCCTATTATGGGCTTATGGTTAGCACAAGTGGGCCAGAGACTAACAGTAAGGAAACTTCCCAGGATTCCAGGAGCGAACACATCCGTACACAGAATCTTTCCTAGGGCTCAGGACAGAAGGACAGTCAGCAGCCCAGGAGGGAAGCCTGAGTCCTAGGGAGTTGGGAGGCACTGTGTGTACATCTAATGAGGCCCCAGGGATGGCCACCTCGGCCAGCCCACACAACAGGTTGGCATGGCTCCTAGCACGTCAGCACCGTCTGGCAGGCGTAGGTCCCCCTGAGACCTTGGAAATGGTATCCTGGCCCCCCTTCTGTGACACAGTCTGTGGGATTCCATGTCCTGAGTTCCTGATGGCAGGAACAGCTCAGGGAGGTGGACAGAGTCGGTTATACCGTGCCAGAGAGGTAGGGATGGGGAGGGAGGGAGGGAGCATCTGGCCTTGGAATGGTGACGTTCAAGGGGAAAGCAGTGATGAGCAGGTGGAGAGAGGTGGGAAATGGGTGTGGCCTGTGCTCTCCTGGGACATCACAAAGTTCAGTCACTAGTCCGGCCACCTCTTCCTTCAGAAGGCCTACCTGAGGGTCTACTCTGCCTTCCGCGTCCCTTTGGTCTCCCCATCCTGCCTCTGAGTCTTGCCTCCTCACCTCCGGTGATCAAATGCTCCCTGAGGGCTCCCTTGTTGTCTCTTCCTGTTGGAACAGCATTCATAACAGTGAGAATAAAACAACTCTTTTTAATGGGTGAGGCACAGTGCCAAGTGTTTCATGTATAGCTTTAACAACCCTGCCAAGAAGGTACTGCCACGATCTCCATTTCATAGATGAGGAAACTGAGGCAGAGAGAAGCCCCCTGAGCATCTGAGCCAGGGTAGAAAGCTAGAACCACCTGAAAGCCACAGGTTTGCCCACTGCACTGCTGACTGTAGCCCCGGGCTCTAGGGCAAGTCAGCTGGGAAAGGCCAATGGGTTTAGTACCAGGTCTTTGCCTGAGTCTCAGTCCCTGTCCTAACACTAAACAGACTGTCTCAGGCCCTGGGGCTGAGGCTTAGACAGGAAACCAACTGTTCCTGATCACACACAACTCTCTTTGGGCCCCGACAGCCCTGGCTTTCTCAAGGTCCCTGTCGTCTCACTCCACTGGGTTCTCTCCTAATTGTCTGATTGCTCCCACTGGGCGTGGTGTCTGTGGCAGAGCAGAGGGACCAGAGAACTGCAGGCAGAGGAGGAGAAGAAGTGAGGTGAGGGCTGGGGTGGGGTTGGCTCGGGAAAGCTATCAGTCAGCCAGCTTCTAACAACAGCAAGCAGCTTCCATCCACGAGTTCAGCACAGCGCCAAGCCTGTGCTAAGTGCTTAGGCTGCACCTTCCACCAGGCCTCCCAGAGCTGGCAGTCAATCTTTCTGTTCTGCATTACAGGAGACTGGGACTGGCTTGTTAAATCCTTGTCCATGGCCACAGACTCGTGGCAGGCCTGGGAGAGGACTTCTGGCACCAGGCTCTAAAGCTGTACCATGGTCTTTGGAATCCTGAGTCTCTGGCCTTCCTTCTGATGTCCATCTTAAGGGTTGAGGAACTAAGAGAGTGCAGAGGAAAGGACATGGGGCACCTGGTCCCAGGAAGCTTCTGGGCTGGCAGGAGTGACAGGAGACATATAGTCAGGTGTTCTATTACTGTCACAGTTGTTGAAGTGACTGAGACCCACTGGGGCAGGTGCCAGAGTACAACCACCAGGCACAGGAGGAATCTGCTGTCCCCCATGTGCAGGGTGGCCACAGCTCTGGCACCTGGCATCCGATTGCAGTGGCACCTTTGGGGTCGTAAGCTTCATATTCCAACGCTGCCTGATTGGTTACTGTTTTGGTTTGGCTTTTTCATTTCATGCAGAAATATGTGAAGAGCGCTTACTGGTGTCAGGCTCCAGGTTAAATGGCATGAAAAAAAAGGTAGCTGGCCTCCAGGTGCTACAGGGGACCAGGGACCATTCGAGCTGAGCCGGCTGAGGCTACAGTCAGAACTGTCTGTGCTACAGAGGAAGCCCTGTCAAAGAGGGAGTCTCGGTCTTGCCAGTGGAGTGACGGGCATGTTTCAAGGGTGCAGAACATGTGACGAGAAGCGGGAGGGTGGGTGAGGTATGGTGACTGTAGAGGTAAGGAACCAGCCGCAGGTGGGCTGTGCTGAAGGTGCCGCCAAGTCCTCCGGGGAAACGTGTAGTCTGGCCGGCCTGTGTGGAGGATGGAAGGCTGGCTGCTGGAGGGCTGCAGTCCCAGCCAGAGTGAAGAGAGAGAGAGGTGGCCCAACCTCAAAGGGAGGTGGTGGAGATGGAGAGGAGAGAGAGGTCTGAGTGGGCGGCTGAGGAGATGCAGGTGATTAATTGGGTGCGGTCGTGCCAGCAAGCCCCAAGACTGATGCTGAGGCTTCTGGCTGGGTGGCTGGATGGCTGCCTGGCATCCTCATCAGTGGGAGAGCGGAGGGGGGGGAGGGCAGAGGGACTGCAGAACTACCCCACTGCATCTGATACGTTTCTGAAAGGCTTTTGTTCCCTGGGCAGCCAAATAGATGTTTCAGTCTAGTGCTGAGAGGGAAAAATGGAGCTCTAAAGTCCGGGTTCATCCGTTGGGTGAGCGAGCCTAGCTAGGGGCTAGGGAGAGCAGGGCAGGGGAAGAGTCTGCCTTAAAGAATCCAGGTCCTTTAGAGGCTCCTTAAAGGAGACTGTGAAGGAGTGGCTGTGAAGGGAGGAGGGAACCCAAAAGTGTGTCACCGTGGAACCAGGGAAACAATAGGAGTGACCAGACATCGAGCTCAGGTAATGTAAGGACCGGGTGACAACCGAACTCAACAGGGTCACCCTGATGTGACAAAGCCAGCTCTCGTTACGTGAGGCTGAGGCCACATTGTTTGGCGGGTTGAAGAGATGAAGAGACACTGAGTAGACTCTCAGGAGAGCTTCTGAGAGGTAGCTCTCTGCTGGAGCTAGAACCAGACACTGAATGACGATGGAGAGAAGCCAAGGAGGTTGACAGGGGAGACCAGGTGACCCCAGGACTATTAAAGTAAGCTATCACTGGGCTTTTGAGGGCCTGGGACCCAAAGCCTAGACTGGGGGCACCGGTCCGAGAAAGGGTTGAGGGACAGGAAGTCTGGTAGCTCTCCGTGAGGTTTGCAGGTGATGGTCCAGGTACCACGAGGACTTCCCTCATTTATCTCAGACCTTTCTGGAACATAGCAGAGAGTGAGGCAGCCTGGGAGATTTGGGGAAGGGGGAGACTGTTTGGAATTGCTGTCATGGAGGGCAGGTGAGATTCTGAGGAGAAGGGGAAAGGACTGGAAAGCCATGCTCTGAGGGGCTGCTGAGGGTAGAGCCCATGTGTCGGTAGTCTGTCTTGGGAGCTCAGCCCCATCTTCCATCACCTCATCTTTGATCCTTGCTTTCCAAAAAACTTAGCAGTCAACCACCGGCTAGCCACTTCCCACTGGACGGGGCTGCCTGATCCACAAACTGATTCCATTTCCTGTTCTGCCCGGTGCGGGTAGGCCAGTCAACGCTGAGCCCACAGCCTGGTAGGGAAGAACAATAGTAAAAGCAGCTAACAAGATGGCTGTACGTAGGGATGAGAGAGGCAGCGTGTGGCAGTGGTTGGAAGGTGGCTCCCTGCAACTGGCCCACCTTGGTTTCAGCCCTTCCCGAACAGGATAGCTTCACGACCGTGGACAAGTCACCCGACCTCATCTGTAAAGGAGAGCACAGCCCATGAAGAAGGGAGGACTGTGTCAATATTTATTAAACACAACCCAAAACAAACATCAACCCAGTTCCCCTGGTCCATGCAGATAGTTCCAAGACAGCCAGAGGTACCTGATGAGGTCTTGACTCAAAAACTACATAAATAAACAAATAAATAAGTATCTACCCAGCACACCAAATATATTTTATAGTAACTTTTAATTTGCTTTTTATTCATCTATCATTTCTGAGGCAGGGTCTCCCATGGAGTAGGCTAGCCTCAGACTCCATAAGTAGATCAAGATGACCCTGAATCCCTGGTTCTCTGACCTGTACTTCCGGTGTGGCAGATTGTATCACCACACCATGGTGACCAGCATGAGGTTTTTTGGTTTTGTTTTGTTTTGTTTTTTGTAATGCATGTGTATGGCCTGTGCACATGTGTATGGATCCGTGTGGGTGTGCATGTGTCCATGTGCATACGGAGGCCGGAAGCCAGTTTTGGATGTCATTCTCAAGAAAGCTGTCCACCTCCTCTGAAACAGTGTCTCATTGGGCAGAGCTCCCCTGCGAGGCTAGATGGGCTGGCCATCGAGCTGAGTCCTTGAAAGCCCCCTTCCTGTCTCTGACTCTCTGAGAGCTGGGTCTCCAAGAGTATGCCACCATGCCCAGCTTTCCACGTGGGTTCTGGGGACTGAAGGCTCTCATGCTCGCTGGTCATGCACTTCTCCCTCAGAGTTACGTCCCCAGTCCCTGTGTGTGACTGAGCTTTTCAGCTAAGGTCTCTTAGTCGAAAAGGGTGATGAAGTCTGCAGTCTCAGGACACAGGAGGCTAAAGTGGGAGGCTCCCCAAACCTCCATACTTCAAGGCTAGCCTGGACTACATAGATTGTGCTTCCAAAACCAAACACACCACAGGTCTCTGAGGCCGCTTAGGTTGAGTGGTAAGAACGGAGGCCATAGCTCCTAGGATTTAATATTGCTGGAGGTGGGCCTGTCCCACCAACCCCACCTTCCCTTTTTGGAGTTGGACCACCATCCTGCCCATCGCCCAGCTGTAGGATGACCACGCCCTTCCCTCTGCTCTTGCCATCCTGCCTGGTGTAGTTTGGGTAGGGGTGGCAGAGCAGGACCAACTGGTAAGTAGCCAGCCTCAGGAGAGACCCTCTGACGTGCCCACCTGTCTCTCTCACAGTGCTGTGTTCTTTGCCACTTACCTGACCCTGGCTTGCTGTTCTGGACCCAGGTAAGATCGTGACTTGGTGGGGGAGGGGAGCTGCCTGTGGGACTATCAGCAGAATCTTAAAAACAAATCTGCTCTGAGCCCTGCCTTCCACCAGGACTCTGTGCAGCCCTGAGAAGACCTCATCCATTCTCTGAACTGGAGTCAAATGGGCCAACCCTTCTACCCTTTACTTTGTGCCCCTGAAGTGGTTGGGCCAATGGGAACATAAGGTTTTCAATGACAGGCTCTGCCGAGTGCTGAGTATCTATCGTCTGAAGCCTGTGGCTTGCCTTTCAGGAGACACTTCCCATGGAACCTGATTCTGCTGACCATCTTTGTAAGTGACCGGGGTGACAGATGCTGAGTGAGTGGGGAAGGAGGCAGGACAGAGGCAGCACGGGTTTTGAAGGCCAGAGAGTCTAAACAGGGGACATCCAACGAAAGGGTCCCTGTGGAACAGAGGTATTGACCCTTCTTCTGTCAGAGTATCCCATCGCCCTCCCTCTCTCAGTGGGATGAGCCACACACACACACCGCCCCTCCTGTGTTCTCAGTCTCTTGTCCTTGGAAGACTGTGTGGGAGTTCCAGCCCAAAGCAGGATAATGAAGAGAAAGCTCTCACTGAGAGAACAAGGCTGCCTAGGAGATAAAGGGACAGCTAGCCTGAGAAGCCTGCAGGCTGGCCAGGGAAACACTGTTTAGCTGGACCTCGGTCCTGAACGGAAACCCAGCAGGCTCTGCACAAGGAGTATATTCATGGGGGGTGGGGGGCAGAGGGAAGGGAGGCCCAGGCTAGAACTTGAGGGTGCCTGGGGCCCTCAAGTCTACATACGGTAACATCCCTTCCCCCTGTTCTCCTTGCAGACCCTGTCCATGGCCTACCTCACTGGGATGTTATCCAGGTAAATGGGACAGGAGTGGCCTAGGTAGGCATGCATCCAGGGTCTGACCACACCCAAGGGAAGCTCTCCACAAACCTACATCTTTCCAGGGAGCTCTTGGATGGGGGAGGGACCCAAGCAGACGGGCTGCCTTGGCTTCAATGTCTCCTTCTTAGGCACTACAGGGCCAGTGGCTCCAAGACCCAAGCAGGCTGGTGGGGTTGGGATGAGGGATGGTGGTGAGGAAGATGATGTCATCCACGAAGTGGCTTTAAAGCCCCCTCCATTCCTGAGGAAATCCCCCCATACCCTCAGACACTGACATGAACTCACCCCACTCTACCTATTCCAGAGCTTGACCCCAATAGTGAGTGACAGAGAAGCCTGGGAAGCTGAGTCCTGGGAACGAGATGGGATGGGAACACAGGTCATGAGGTCAGCTTCTGGCAGGAAAGGGCGGTCCTGTGAGAAGAGGGATGGGGAGAGGGAAATCCTACTGACTGAATGCCCTTCCTTCCTCAGTTACTTCAACACCACGTCTGTGCTGCTCTGCCTGGGTATCACCGCTCTCGTCTGCCTCTCGGTCACCATCTTCAGTTTCCAGACCAAGGTCAGCCCTGGAGGCTGTGAGCAGGGGAGGGCTCGTGGGCCATGGGTCTATATGGGGCTGAGGAGAGGCAGAGACCTGAGTTGGGTCTGGGGATACTACCTGGAAGAGGGATGCATTGGGTTATGGGGGGGGGGGTGAGTGCAGAATTTGCGGGTCTCAGCTTCTGGCCGGCACACTGCTGAGACCCGGTGCTGACAGTCCCCTGTGTCCTGCAGTTTGACTTCACGTCCTGTCAGGGTGTGCTGTTTGTGCTGCTTATGACTCTCTTCTTCAGCGGACTACTCCTCAGCATCCTCCTGCCCTTCCAATACGTGAGTCTCAGCCTACTGGTCTGTGAGGGAGGTGGAGATGACCCAATGCTCAGGGTGCATGCTCTCCTCACCCCTGCGGGGCACCCCAGGGCCAAAGCCTCATGGCCTGCCACCCCGTCCAGCCCTCCTGGCACCTGCCTCCTGCCCCCAGGCGTGTTGGCAACATACGCAAGCAAACAAGGAGCCTTTTCTTGGCAGGCCTGGGCACCTGCCCAGCTCCATGAGTCGTATCCGGCTTCACTTTCCCGGTCCTCTCATGGAGGTGGAGGGAGGGGGAGGGGGAGACGAGGTGGGGGGACTGTTGCCGAGGAAGATACAATGGGGCTCCAGCGCCCAGCAGGCTCAGTGGCCCTCCTGGGGGATCAGCTAAGTCCAAAGAGGCAGAATCTGGCTAGCCAGGCAGGAGGGAAATGAGCAGTGGGTCAGGGGGTAGATTCCCCATCCCTTCTCACAAATGCCTGCTCACTGGAGGGCTCTTCCCAGGACTCCGATTGGCATCCTGGCTACCCAAAAGAGTGCCTACTGTGTAGGAGCTGAAGCGACCAACCGTAGGGAACAGATTGGAGACGTGACAGGTAGTTTGAATCCTGAGAACACAGGAAAGAACGTGCTGGCCGGGCGGTGGTGGCGCACGCCTTTAATCCCAGCACTTGGGAGGCAGAGGCAGGCGGATTTCTGAGTTCGAGGCCAGCCTGGTCTACAGAGTGAGTTCCAGGACAGCCCGGGCTACACAGAGAAACCCTGTCTCGAAAAAAAAAAAAAAAAAAAAAAAAGAAAGAACGTGCTGGATCTACTAGGAACTCAACAACATTCTCCCCGGCCACATCCGGTACCTGGTCTCCCATGGCCTCTTGTCTGCCAGGCTCGGATGGTATTCCTTATCCTCTCAAATACACTTCCATACTGCCCAGCCCCAGCCTCCAGGCAGTTGGCACCCAGTCTAGGATGTCAAGACTGATTCTGGCATTTCCTTGGCTCTTGTCAGGATCCTGTTGACGAAGGGAGGGGCCGGAGCTGGCCTAGGGACCTCTATGTATCTAGGATGGGGAGGGGGCTACAGGAAGGAGCCCCAAACTTCAAAGAACCCTTTCTTGTCCCATGTTGAGCTGTTGAGCCTTTGTTTCCAGGAACCTTCTAGAAAGTTTTCTGGAAGGGCTCCACAAAGGGTAATGCTAACATGGCACCTCATAGTTGAGACATTTGCATTCTCACAGTCAGGGTGAGCACAGGTTGGAAAGGGTTCTGCTCTGGCCTCCAGAAGTAGGCTCATCATGTCCCTCTGGCAGAGACTCCAGATACCTCCGCTTCCTTACCCGCCCTGACTGACTTTTTCCACCTGAGCTCTTGTTTCCAAGGCAGAGACGGATAGCTCTCTGTGGAGAAACAGACAGACCCCAGATAGAGCAGGGATGAGTTGGGGACAGCAGGAGGAGCCTAGGGTCAGACCTGGCTGAGAGAATGACTGCTAAATAGGATGAGTCGCCCTTGGCCAGCCTGAGCCTGGGTCTGTGCTTAGATGGAAGACATGTCAGGTCTGTGGGAACCCCTGTGGGTCTCTTTATCCAACCACTGGGAGCATCCTGAGACTCACAAGCCTGTCTCAGACTGGGGCTTCTTAGAAAGGAATTACCCCTGTTCTTCCATCTTCTGGATCGAGCCTTCCCCCCAACTTCCGGCACCTCTGCCAGCTGCCCTTTTTTACATTGTGTCTCTCCTCTCCTTCAGGTCCCCTGGCTCCACGCCGTCTATGCTGTGCTAGGAGCGGGTGTGTTCACGTTGGTGAGTTTGCCCCAGGCCCTGGAGCCACCTTCCCAGCTCTGTGACTGTCTCCTCAGGCCCTTCCACCCTGTGTCTTCCTTGTAGTCTCTATGGAACCTTTCTGCAGCATCTGAGGGTAGGGCTGGTGCAATGCCTCATTCAGGAAATTCTGTCTCGTGTCCAAGACAAACTCTCTGAGCAGGGCATGGGAATGTGAGAGCATCAGAGTAGAAGCTGGCGGCCAGAGGGGACTAGGTGATCAGGACTAAGAAGAGAGGTAATTCCCTCCTTTGGGCAGAGAACATCCAGCTGTGTGGACTAAATTAGTAAGTCCTAGAGCAGTCTGGGAAGATTCTCATACCTGGCGAAAGTCTCCGTCAGAGGGAACTTCTTTGTTCTTCTCACCAACTCCAGTTAACGGTGATAGCTAATTCATTTCTTTGTATATACTTATTTGTCTTTTAAAAACAAACTGGCCTTGAACTTGCGAGAGCCTCGTACCTCACTCTCTAGAGTCTGGTATTATTGGCATGCACCACACCTGGGGCTCAGCTAATATTTATCTAGTGCTTACTCTCCCCCAGACGGCTCTCTTTTGTTCTTAATTCTCACACCACACCTAGCAGATAGGTCCCACTCTTCTGAGATCACAATGAAGAGGAAGTTCAGAGATGTCAGATAACATGTTGAGGTCATCTAGGACATGGTGGGACCAAGCTGGGAACTTGGATATCTGGTTCCAGAGGCCAGGTGGAAAGTACCAAGGAACAGATGCCCAGGCAATGTGGCCAAAGATGGACAGATACCTGCCCAAGGCAGCCCAACATATCCTTGAGTCTGGTGGACCTCAAACACCTAAATGTGTCCCTCAGGATCACCCAAGAGACAAGCCAGGTGTCCATGACATCATGGGAAGCCATGCAAAGAGATATCTCTTGCTGGTGAATCAATGGCTGGACCCCCCCCCCCCCCGCCTCTGGTTTTCTTAACTACACTAAGTGGCAAGAGACCCAGGTTTGTCACAAATTCCAGAGACTTAAAGATGACAAGAATGTCCAACACATCGCCTACCGTGAGGTGGATGGCGCTGATGTAAGAATTGCCTCGTCCATCCACCCATCATGGTGGTACACACCCGTAATCCTAGCATTTGGGAAGAGGAGGCAGGAGGATTAGAAGTTCTCTAAGTAGTCCTTGGCTACTTAGAGCGTTTGAGGCCAGCTTTGATCACAGGAGACCCTGTCTGAAGGCACGAAAAGCCAAGCACCTTCTGTATCAGAAGCCCTAGGGTTAAAAAGTTGTCAGTAACGGTCAGATCTGGGACGAAGCCTCAGTTGCACTCTGCCTGTTTAGTGACATTCCCAGTCCCTGAGGTCCCTCAGAGAGAGGGAACTTCTCCTGGCTGGGACTTGGGCAGAGGATGGAGATGGACAGAGCCCTCCAGCTGTCCTCTCTGTCTTCAATTGAGGGGAACATAACAGGTCAGAGCGATGAGGTCAGACAAGAATCAAGGCAGGATAGAGCTGTGCTAGGCTCACGGGCTCATCCTTTTCACGGGTCTTTATTGAGCATCTAGTATGTGTGAGGTGCTGTGCTACCTGCCCAGAAGCCTCAGTCAGGAGGAAGAGCAGTGTTTCGGTGAATATGCCAGGTCTGTGGGAACTCCCTGGGTCTCTCCATGGTTACCAGAAGCACTGGGTGAATATTATGAAATGATTAAGGCCACCTAGTCAAGGAATACAAGGACCAGAAGAGCTAGACACAGCAAACCCTCCTCTTATGGGTATGAAAACCGACTTCTAGATCAATCAGGCGAATAGTCTAAGACAATTGTTCTCAATCTGTGGGTCACAACCCTTTTGGGGGTTGAATGACCCTTTAACAAGGGTCAACTATCAGATTTCCTGCATATCAGATACTTACATTATGATACATAACAGTAGCAAGATTACAGTTATGAAGTAGCAATGAAAATAATTTTGTGGTTGGGGGTCACAATCATATAAGGAACTGTAATGAAAGGTTGTAGCATTCGGAAGGCTGAGAACCACTGGTGTAAGGTTTCCTGGCAAGTCAACTAAGTATGGGTCAAGGCTGGGTTGCCAATTCACCTCAGTCTACCCGCCACATTCCCTGTGTCAATGGGGGAATCTCACTTCTCGGGAACCCTAAGTCCTAAATAAAGTGAGATGGCTGGTTACCCCAGGATACCCACTTACCCAAGGATACTTACTTCTCCTGGCTCGTGGAACAGTGTTCCTCCTTCCAGGTCATATTTTCTCAAGCAAAGAGCAATCTCAGAGAACTGGAGAGGGATCAGGATGGGAGGAAGGAAGAGAGCAAAAATCAGGGGCAGTAACATCAGGGGGCCTCGGAGAGCAGCCATGGTGGCTGGGGGCAGGAGAAGAGTCAGACCAGAGCAAGGGAGGTCATTGGAGTTGCAAGGCAGCCCGTGGAGGGCCGGGGCGTGCACTTTGCTTCCTGAGGGTCAGGTTGCAGCAAGTATGGAGGCTTATGATGAGCCTCTGCAGGCAGGTCGGGCTGGGTGGATGGTAAGCCTTTAAATCTGTTCAATAATCCCTTGTGTGATTAGAATAATAAGAATAATCCCAGCCGTCTGTCCCACCCATAGCGTTCTGTAGAACACTTTCACGTTGATTGCTTCATTGCGTCTCGAACACAACTCAGAGAAGGAAGCAGGGCTGACATTGTCCTAAGAACTGCCTTGCATACTGGAGGCCCTGGGTGTTAAGTTGTAAGGCTGGTAAAGTCTCACAGCCAGTAAAGGACAGGTCCAGGCCCAGGTGTCCCAGGCCCAAGGTGTCCTGAAACTGGTGTCCAGTGCCTCTGTGGTCACCTGAGGAGAGGAGATACCTCTCCTCTTCATCACCACCACCACCATCACCATCTTCATCATCATGTATACCATGTGTTGACTTCTCTACTAGACTCTGGTGTCACCATGGAAACATACTGTGATTTCTCCCATCTAAAGGAATGTAAAACCCACAAAATACTCTAACCCACATCTCCCTAAAGCTCTTGCCCAGATATAACAAAAACTCCTTAGGAATCTCTGTTCATCTCCCACAATGCCCCACTCTACCCCAGTCCCCCTTTCCCCCAGCTGTCGGCTCCCATATTCTCTTGTGTGCCTTTTCCGTGAAATCGGGGCTTTGTGCATGCTGAGTGTGAGGTCTTCCGCCCAGCTTCGTCCCCAGTCCACTGAGCACTGAGCAATATTATCCAGTTCACCAGCAACTTCCACAGGGACAAACCCAGCACGCAGTCTCAGCCCTACTTGGCCTAGCTCAGCAGAAGCATCCTCCAGGCCTCTGGCTCCTGGTTTTTGGTTAGGCAGGCCCATCGTGGCCTGCCCTGGGTCCCTGAGTCTTTTTATCCTCTTCCCTCAGGACCCCAGGCGGGCCCAATGCTTTGGATTTTATGCTTCATGCTGATGACTGTGGATTTACATCTCTGGCCCTAATGTCTGAGTTTCAGACTAGAAAGTCCAGTAACATGCAAGCAACTTCTTTTGCCTGGGTTTCTCTGCCTTTGTGTTCTTCCCACAGCCTCTCTTAGCGTTCCCACTCAAGGCAAATTCCTCGGCAGCTCTCTTCCTTCTGGACACCCTACACATTGGCAGCAGGTCTCACGATTCTACTTCTATCCTAAACATATATCAGACCCCATTACAGATGGTTGTGAGCCACCATGTGGTTGCTGGGAATTGAACTCAGGACCTTCGGAAGAGCAGCCATTGCTCTTATCTGCTGAGCCATCTCTCCAGCCCCTCTACCTCTGGTCTAGAGCCTAAGCACTCTGCCAAGCCTCGTGGCCCTTCTTTCCCCCGAGTTGCAATGCCCCTCTGCAGCTTCCCCTGCTGTGCCCAGGCTCTGGTCCAGGCAGCAGGCAGGGGTGGGGAATCCCCTGCTTCACATCCAGCAGATGGTTGCTAGCCACAGGCCCCCTTTGAACTCCTCCTCCTCTCCAACTCTGCTGTGTCCCTTGCTGCCTAGGCAGAGCAGCTCCTTCCAATACCGAGGATCCCACACCGATCTGCTCCTCTGTCCCCTAAGACCCTCCCAGCTCTCCTTCTTGTTCCCTTCACCTCCACACTCAAGTGCTCCCCCTCCTCCCCCCAGAGTCATAGCTCTGGGGACCCTATCTCTTCCTCAGACGCAGTCTGGGTTTTTCTGATCTGTTTGGTTTTCTGACTCAAGAGGATTTAAACTCCTTGAGAGTGAGGCTCACCAACCACCCTGGTTTGTGCATCGGCGTAGTCCCAGCTCCCGGAACAATCTAGTACACAGCAGACACCCCTAGGTGTTTGTGGGGTGAATGGATGCCCGAGGAGTGAGTGGGGGCGGGGATCTGAGGTGCTGGGATGGCACAGCTGAATATGCACCGGTGCAGGTGTCTCCTGTGAGTCACAGGAAGGAGGGGGAACTTTGGTGCCCAGTGACCCTCATAATGTCTCATTCAATTAATACCCCAAAAAGTTTGATGGGATCGTCTTGAAAGTTACATAAAGAGTAGTTGAGAGAGTACATGGGTGGGCCCTTCTGCTTAGAGGAGAGGCAGGCCCTTGCATGCCAAGACGAATGTAAGCTACCCCAAAGGAGGTCTGGCAAGGGTAAAGCAGTGTTCCCAGGCATGCAACCCTGAAGCCCCAGGTTTTGCTAAGGGTAAACTGGCCCTTGGCCCCACCCTGCAGAGTTTCTGCCCAGCCCTACAGCCTGGCCCATGAGTTTACCTCTCAAGAAAGCACCCAAGTGGGGAGAGGATGGGAGAGCCACTCAAAACCAACACCTTTGAGCTGACTCACCCATGTCTACTAGCATCTCAATCCTGGCATCCAGCAAGGGGTAGGGGGCCAAGCTCCAAACCCAAGGCTTCCCAACAGTACGCCAAGGCTCACTGTGGGAGAGACAGACGTAGGAGGGGCTGCTCCTCGAGGCTGGACCAGAACCCCATGGCTTCCATGATGGGTGTCCCTACCCTGGAAGATGGAAGAAGTTCTCAGGGTCAGAGCTGAGGGTTCTAGGAGAGAGACTCTGGATATTCTTCTTGGTGTCTGTAAAGCCCAGGCTGGTGGGAATAGGGAAGGCTCCACAGAGGGTCCAGGGCCTCACCCGACACTCCCTGATATCCCTTTCTCACACATCATTGATGGGGCAGTAATCAGGTCAAGGCCAGGCTGAGTGTCCTTGTTTTGTCTAACTGCAGTGGAGAGAAGGGGTCCCATTGTGCCCCTAACCCACAGAAGGCTAAGTGGGAGGAGCTATCCCAAAGGCCAAAGTCACCCTCCAGTTGTACAAGAGGGAACAGGGCACCAGATGAATCCAGTTCTGGGGACCCTCCAACTTGGAAGCCTGTGTTTTTCTAAGCTAAGGGTCATGTTTGCATCTCTTCTTACCTTACCCTTATAGCTCGCACACATGCACCATGACGCGTGCACCCCACCTTGCTTCTCTCTCTGCATCTGGGGACAGCCGTCCTCTTGGCTGTATGGTGAGGGCAAGTTGGTTATACCATCTGTGCCTCAGTCACATCAGCAAATCATGGGGACAGTAAAGTGACACTTGTGAGAGACTGAAGTGGGTATTTGAAAAATAGTCACAAGACTCTGTGGGTGTTATTTAATCCTTGCGCTTATAATTTGTGCTTTGTAATATATGAATACATCTATTCCTGGATCTTGGCTTTTTAAAATCTTAAATATGGATGAAGCAAACATTTTGAGCACACTCCTTGGCTTCCCCAGTGGTGACCGTGACGGGCAGCTGTTGTCTTTCTAGACTGTTCTATGGACACTCTTGTCTATAGGCTCCTGAGTCACGAGTGTACTTTTGTGCAGGTGTGTGATAAGGTTGTTTCCGCAGGCAGGTCGGTTTCTTCTCATGGTAGCAGATATCAGATTTCGGACTCCATTCTGCGTCAGTTTAGCTAACCGGCCCCTGTTGACAGGCTGGGTGGTTTCCGGTGAAGCTCTGTTAGAACCTGCGTTGTAAGAGCGCAGGGCTCACAGGTCCTGCGCTGCGGCTTCTGTAGGACAGATCCAGACCACAAGCTCCTTTCCATGCTGCAGCCCCAGCTTTTTATATCCAATCCTTGTCTGCCGATGGCCTCTCCATGGTGTAGCTCTCCACAGTGCCTCAGCCTCATCTCTGAGGGAGGGACAGACAACAGGCACAAGCTTGAATCCCAGTGTAGCAGGGCCAGGCCAACTATGTGGCCAGAGTCTATGTAAATCGCCAGTTTTCAACCTGTGGGTGACAGTCCGTTTGCGGGTGGGTGTGGGGGTGTCAAATGACCCTTCCACAGGGGTCACATATCAGATATCCTGCATACCAGATGTTCACATTATGATCTATAACAGTCACAAAATTAAAGTTATGAAGTAACAGTGAAATAATTTTTGTGGTTGGGGTCACCACAACATGAGGAACTATATTAAAGGGTAGAGGCATTAGGAAGGTTGAGAGCTAATGGTGTTGGTGCAGCCCTACTGTGTGGTAGACTAGAACAGACACCCTCAGCTCCTCTGCCCTGTGCAGGTCCTTCTTAATCCCCTTGCAAGCCTTACTCTGCTGCTGTTCCACCAGATAAGGGGAGAGGGTCAGGTTCTAGCATTAGAAAGGAGACATCAGCAAGCCACTTTCCTCTCTAAGACCCCTGACCTTATAGACTAAACAATGACATGCCCACCTGCCAGTGCACACAGGGACAGTGAGCTGAGATAACGTATTAGCACACACAGGACTATTTATACATTTAACATGTATTACTCCTCTTCCGGTCCTGCACTGCCTCTGATCCCATCCCTCGCACTCACGAAGAGTCCTGTGTCCAGCCGGCCTCTAACTCAACCAAGGGTTACCCTTCCAGGTGGCAACAGCAGCCCTCCGTTGCAACTAGTGTGTTAACTGTAAACAAGACAATCTGTTGTCAGCTCAGGATGTTGACAATTCTTCGCCTTAGGGGGATGCTACCCAGTTACTTTTCCCTCTCAATGCGTGCTTATGGTGGGATTTTTAAAAATTAATTTACATTAAACTGTGGTATGCTTGTGTGTGTGTGCATGCCACAGTGTGTGTGTGTGTGTGTGTGTGTGTGTGTGTGTGTGTGTGTGTGTGTGTAGATTAGAGGGCAACTTCTAGAAGAATGTTGTCTCCACCATGCGGGTTCTGGGGATCAAATTCAGGCCATCAGGCTTGGTAACAAGTACCCTTATCTGCTGAGCCATCCCGCTGGACCTTATAATGGAATTCTGATGTTGTTCGTTGCCCTCATTAGACTGTCAATTCTTCAAAATCAAGTTCCCTGGAACACAGTAGGTGCTCGTTAAATATGAGTGCATGCAAATAAGTAGAAAGCTCCCAGCTGACTCTCAGGCTGCAGCGGTGGGTGGTAACCCCTTTGGGGTGGGCCTCCCCAGATAACACCATGTGGAGGAGAATCCAGGGCCAGGAGCCAAGGGCACCGGCCACAGTTGGCCCACTCTTGTTTGCAGCCAGCTAGCTGTTCTGGGAGCCACTGAGTGGGTGCTCCTTGGAGGGGCACCCACAGACCTGATCAGATCCAAGCCTTCTAGGTTGAAAGATTCGGTTTCATGAGCTCACCCAGGGGTGACCAGGCTCTGGGAAAGCAACCAAGCACTGCTGATTGATAAGCCAGCTCAGCAATTTATTAACTTATGCTTGGCAGCTATGCCTGTTAAACAGCCCGCAGCATTAGAGCTGGCCCCTCTGCCTGCTTGTTCTCTTTGCTTAGAAAGCCAGATCTCTTTGCTGAGTGCGCCGAGTAAAATGATAGTTTAGAATAATGAGATCCAGGGATGGTGTGACCGTCGTTGCTCTCCTGCTCTGTGAAGCGAGGGCTCTGGGGTCACGTGATTAAGTTGCCTTCCAGATTCAGCCTGTGTTCCAGGGGGTCCAGCCCTTCCTGCTGCTGAGCTCAGAGGCCCGATCCATGCCTACAAGGCCCCCTCAACCCTTACCTCAGCTCACCATTTTCCTTCTGTTAAGGCCATGCAGATTCCCCTCAGAGTCTCTCTGCCTTCCCGACATGGTGTGGGAGCCACCTGAGTCTCATTAGCAACGTCCGCTTATTCCTGGGAGGATACAGCTCCCGAAGATGCCTCGGTAAAACCCCAATAACAGCCACCGTTCATTAGGTGTTGGCTATGTGCCAGGTGTCCCGCGAACAGTATGGTTGTCACAGGCTCAGAACAGCCTCGGGAGACAAGCACCCTCATCTCCATTCAGCGCCAAGGAGTCACAGGCCAAGAAGAGAGCCCAAGCTTTGCTAATTCTCCCAGCGTCTCCAAGTGAGGTGGCATCAGACTGAGCTCAGAGTCACCCTCCTCAGACAACATATGCTGGACTCGCTCCTTGTTGAAGTCTCTGGTCCCTGTGTTTTGTGGCATTAGCACAGAGGTCAGGGATCCTCCCAGGGTTCTCTGTGGGCTACAGCTAGCACAACTTCAAGGAACCTGGGTCCTGGGCCAAGGAGGGGGTGAGAGAAGGGGATTGGGACATCCTTCAGCCTTGCTCCAGCCAAACGCAAGCTTCAAGGTCAGGTATTGGCCCCTCTGTCACCTCACTTCCCACAATGCTCCTCTCCTTCCATGCAACCTAATCACTGTTCATAACGGTCCAGCAGGTCCTCAGGGCTTCCCGAGGGCTGCCCTGTCTATCCAAGGCCCACGCCTCCTTGACACCCCAGGAAAAATGTCACTCCTCCTAGGACACCTTCCCCTTGAATGATCAAGAGCATAGACCCAGCTGTCACGTAATCAGCTGAAGGTTCTCCCTCCCCCTCCATTAGGTAGTGGGCCTAGCCGAACACACAGACTTGTGTCTTTTATAAGCACATATGTGACACTGTGTGAGGAGCCCAGAGACGCTAGGCATAGAGGTGGGGATGTGAATCTGAAGAAAGCTCACATGTGCGGGTTGATGCTGCTGCTTCTTTCAAACCCTGAGAGAGTCTGGGGTCCATCCTCTGAAAGATGTCCCTGCCTGCCTGATTTCATGTGCGGCTCGCAAGGGGTTTCTGCAGCCAAGCCGGAACCCAGAGGACAGCTGTGGGGGAGGGGCGTAGTGTCTGTGTTCAGAGGGAAGGGCTGACAGGGGTGGCTCGGGACAGAGAGGAGCTGTGGCCAAGGGAATCTCTGAAGGGTCATCCGTTGGGCCCAGAATGTTCCCCTGGGAGAGCAGAAAACTCACTGATCCTGGGTGCTACAGAGGGTGACCGAGTGGAGTGGATCCTGCAGCTAGCCTGCTCGAAGCCTGGATTTGCCATTTCTCCACATGGGTAAAAGTAGATAAACATTGAATATCTCTGGCCTCAGTTTCCTCTAGTGCTGACAATTCTATTCCAAGGAGCTTGTGTCTGCAAAGTGTATAACAACCCCCCATCCCCTGAGTTACCTGAAGCGTGCATTTCCCCTCAAAAACATAGCAGGGCCCAACTGTTTCATCTAGAAATCTCCCTGGCTGGGAAGCCCTCCCTAACTGTGGCCACGCCCACACAGGGCAGCTCCTACTTAGTCCTCAGCACTGCGGGGGCGAGAGGGGGGCACACTGTAATACTCTGGGGTTACTCTCTAACACCTCTTTCCCCCACCTCCCCCCACCCCCAGAGAACAGAGATCCTGCCTCTCTGCTGTATTTCTGCCCGGAACAAAATAAATGCTCAGTAAACTGGGGTGGGGGTGGGGGTGGACGTAATTAGGGAGGAAAATGTTGGGAAAGTTCTGGCTGTCGCAGCAGGGTCACTGGACAGCCAGGTAATAAGCCAGCAGCTTAGCCCCTCAGTGTCACAGACTGAACATCTGACTTCCTGTTCTTCCTTCTCTTCCAGTTCCTGGCATTTGATACCCAGTTGCTGATGGGTAACCGGCGACACTCGCTGAGCCCCGAGGAGTATATTTTTGGAGCCCTCAACATCTACTTAGACATTATCTATATCTTCACCTTCTTCCTGCAGCTTTTTGGCCGGGAATAAGGAGCCCCCCCCACCCCTACCCTCCTCCAGAGAATGTCCCTCCCCTGTCCTGTGACCCTCTCCGTGCTCCTGCAAGACCAGACATAAACTTGCTGCAGCCAGCTTGTGAGCAGCCGCTCCCTCCTGCAGCCAGCCCTTCTGCAGCTTGTACATATATGCCTTCCTTGGGGCCCTGCAGATCCGAGGCCACACCATCCCCTGCGGTGCCCCTGGCACCTGATTACATCTTCCAAATGGCACAGTCAAGGCTGAGGGCACCTCTGGGTTTGCAGACTCAAGAGATGAGGGGGGGGAGCCCAGCAGGATCTCAGAGGTGGGAAGGAGACCCCAGGAAACCTGGCTGAGACTGTGACCCGCACCAAGTCTTCTAGGGCTTCATTTTCTCTTTCAGGTCAAGCAACCATGCTTTGTACCAAAAAAATAGCTGAGGGGACACGGCTGGAACATGAGGACAGGGCTCTGTGGTGTGGGGTGAAGCTGTCCCCAACTGTTACTCTCTAAGCTATAGGCCAGTTGCTTGTTCTAGAGACCTGGGCAATATAAAAGGAGTAGGAAGGCACTGTTTTCATTACTTGCCTCAGTTTGCCCTCCTGGGTCACCTGGGTCATAGAACAGGGATGTGCTAAGCCCGTCCTGAGCTCCCAGGCAGGGGAAGGCAAGAGAGCCAGCTGGGAGGGTTGAACCAGGGGCTGTCAATCAAATCTAATCCACTGGAAAGGCATGTTAGATGGCAGGACTAAAATCCCATCTCTCCGTTTTCCACTCTGCGCTCTTTCCACAGGCCTGAGGTGGGAGTGGGGTGGGAGGTCTGGTGGAAGTGGTTCTGTCTGCTGGACTAGCCCTTACCCGGGGCTGTCCTTCAATCCCTTCCACACCTATTGCCTAGGTGACTTCCTCTATCTTCTGCTACATTCTGTCTTATCTCCAGCCAGGCCTCCTGAGGCCCTAAGAGTAGAGGCATCCATTTCCCGCCCGGCCTCCCCAGCTTCCCTGGCCACTCAGCCAGAGTCTCTGGGCCCTTGCCCCCTTATCTCCACATCTCTGTAATTTGGAAGCTGTCCAGCTAATGGTCACGGCCAGGGCCAGTCCCTTGAGCCTGTCCCGTGGGATGAGGCCAGAGCGCCTTATCAACCTCCAGGCTGCTGGGATCTCAGGCAGAGTGTGCGTCAGCCACCCTGCCCTGGCTGAGTGCCTGCCGGAGTGCGGACCAGGGGCCCACACCTGGGGCAGCATGCAGGTGACACATGCACATGGCCAGCTCTAGGCCAGTGGAAAGTTACTGGTGAAGACTGCAGGCTCTGAGTGGATGTAGGGGACCCTGTTTGCCCCCAGGAAAGGGGACTAGGTAGCCTATCCATTCCTGCCCCTGCCCACCCTGCCTACTCTGGCCTTCAAAGGAATATTACAGAAGCATTTGAAATTTTGTTCGATCTTGGATATTTGAGGAGGGAGGGTGGTGTGGAGGGACCATTGGGGTGGCTGCTGGCGTGGATGAGCCTACTGCTGCGGTCCAGACTCATCCTGCAGGGTTATCGGCACATCACCATTGCAGAGGTAAAGTCAAGTGGCTCAGAAAGGCTTAGATAAATCCACTGTCGTCCAGTAAACCTGGGAGACAGCCCACAGTTACTTCCTCCAGTCTGAATCTGGGCAGGATTGAGACTTGTATAGCCCATAGGTGTGTGGGTGGACAAGCACTGACATCTCTGGGGATTTGTGACACCCTCACCTGCCCCTATCACCCAGCCTGGCATCTAGAAATGCCAAACTCTTAGGTTTTCCCTCCCTGGAAGTCAGCTGGGAGGCAGGATTCCTGGCTTCTGGTTCCGACCCCACTGCCAACAGAGTCTGTGACTCTGTTTTCCTATCTGCAAGATGGAAGTCCCCAACCAGTGCCAGCATGGGGCACGGAGAGGCACCAAGACACTTGGCTAACTTCCTCATCTGCTTGTTCCCCTTTGAGTGCCTCTCCTAATCTCTAGCTTCAGTTCTAGAAAGGTTCAAAGCCCCTCCCCCACCGACATGCCGCCCTCACACTGGCCAGTTTCCCAGAATCCACTTGTCCAAGTCCTCTTCTGAGACAATTTATGCAGAGACTGAGGATTGAGAAATTTTTCCAAGGCTAAGTTCCAAAAACAAAAACAAAAAAAAAAAATGGGGGAGGGGCAAGCCCTCAGCCATAAATAATGTGACCCGGGCACAAGTCACGGTGATCTCAGAGACAGCTGGTGAAGGTGGGGAGGCCTCGCAGGGTTTTCTTCTGTCGGCCCACGGCTGAACTGGATCCAGGGCCAGAGAAAGCCTTCATGTCGACCCCTGGTGGGGCAGTAAGGCGTCCCACGAACACCTGAGTGGGTCTTGGCAGGAGGGCGAAACAAGAGTGCAGGATTATGAGGAATGCGGGATTATGAGAAACCGAAGCTGGGCAGGTGCGGCAAGCTGTGAAGGAGGAAGGACTCCTCCTGGCCCCTCGCATTTTTAGCTTGGGTGGGGCCGGACCTATGACGGGGTAGATTGGATTTCATAAGGTTTGAGGGAGCCAGGAATCTCTGATGTGAGGCCCAAAGCCCCCTGAGGAAACGTAAGAGACCGGGAGGTCCCCTCCGAGGCTCAAGATGGGACGAAGTAGGGACATTCGGTCTCTGGTTCCCCACACCAATTCCCGGGTCGATGCACAGCTCTTACGATACAGCCCGAGGAAACCACAAGACTTCCTCGGGTATGGTATGGTTCTTCCATTCCATACCCGTTCTTCTGTGTGAGCCCTGCAGGACCCCTCAAGCACCTTTATTCCAAAAGGCCGGGATGGGTGGGGTGGGGGGTGGGGTGGAGGGGTCAAATTGGGAATTTTACACAAGGACTTTGCTGCCCCCTTCTGGCTCTCAGAGGAAAAGCAGAGTCTGGCTTTGCAAATGGAGAATCCATCCCTGGTGGCAGTGACTTACTTGGGTCAGGACTCTGTTTCTCTTAGACCTGTCTTCCCAGCAAACACTGACAACACCTTTTTGTCCAGTGACTGCCACATCTCTCAAGACACAGTTGGCCTGCCTGCCAAAACCCATCTCTACTCAGTCCCATGCCCTGAGTTTTTCCTGAGTGTCGGAGAATGAAGATCTATCAGGCACAAGGACTCACCTGCTGCACGCCCAGACGGGGCTGCCCTTTTGTCATCAGCTCCTCGAGTTCTCCTATGGTCTCTTCCGTGTGCCCATCTCCGGCCTCACCTGCCCAAAATCTGTGACTGATTGGAAATAAGAATAAAAACAATTACTAAGACACCTGGACTGTTTGCTCGTAGCCTCAGCTGGCTTTGTGGAGAGGGTGAAATGTCACTGAGCTGTGGGTGTCTTTCATACAGGAGCTACTTAAAATCCCCTTCTTTTGTTTTCCTGGGGAAAGTAGAAGGGTCCTCCTGCTCAGGTCACCTTTGTCTGGGAGCCTTCTGCAGACTGACCCAATCTTGATGGTCCATGGGAACCTTCTGTTTTCCCGGCCCTACTGGTAAAAGAGTCTTTATTTTAAGCAAAAGTGTTTCCTTACAATGGAGAGCCCAGGTATACTGCAAAGCAGCAGCTTTGAACCTATACAACTAGAGGTTCAGGGGACCATCCTGTGCATGCTAGAGCCACAGAACTTACAGCACGTGGGCAAAAGCATCATTTGAGAAGAGGGAGGAAGGGAGAAAGGGAGGGAGGGAGGGAGGGAGGGAGAAAGAGAGGGAGGGAGGGAGGGAAGGATCTACTCCAACTCTAAGAGGAAACTTAGAAGCAAAAGTTTCAGTGACCAGTCCAAGCTTGTGTATAAAATTACTGACAGAATGGGAGCAAAGGGTAAATCAGTTAGTGGTTATGTCAACAGATACCCATGGTGTGCTGGATGGTTTATGTCAACTTGGCACAAACTAGAGTCATCTGAGAGATAAGAAAATGCTTCCATAAGATCGAGCTGTAGGCAAGCCTGTAGAGCACTGAGGCCCCGCCCACTGTGGGTGGATCCACCTCTGGGCTGGTGGGCCTAGGTTCTAATAAGAGAGCAGACTGAACAAGCCATGGGGAGCAAGTTGGTAAGCAGCACCCTCCATGGCTTCTATATCAGCTCCTGCCTCCAGGTTCCTGCCCTGTGTGAGTTCCTGTCCTGACTTCCTTCGATGATCAACAGCACTATGGAAGTGTAAACCAAATAAACCCTTTCCTCCCCAACTTGGCCATGGTGTTTTATCATAGCTATAGTAACCCTAACTAAGACACACGGGTGTCCTGGTGTGTGGGTGTGTGGGTGTGTGGGGAAGGGGCAAGATCACACTGGAGAGGGAGGAGGAGGGGAGTATTATTATCATTATTATTACTTATTTAGCAAAAGCTCCCAGTGTGCACGGAGCATGCCACAGCTGGGAAGAAGCAGAAGGAAACAGCCGCTGATAGCATGTAACCTCAGAGGCTAAGTAGATACTCCACCCCCTCTTCTTTCCTCCCTGTTTTTTGCTTATTTGTTTTGAGACAGTCTCACCATGTAGCCCAGGCTGGCCTCAAACTCACAGTCTTGACTTGAGCTGGGATTATATGTGTGTACCACTCTGCTTGGTTCATTAGTGGAACCTGAGAAGGAGGTAGCGCTGAGCTATGGTAGGGGACCAGGAGACCTCTGGCGGAGCAGAAATGGATGAAGCGTCTCTAAGTTGAGGAGAGGGGGCGCCGGACTCTCGTGCTTCCTCCAGCCAGCATGAGCCCAACAGCCTCCTCAATTCATCTCTAGATGAATCTAGAAATCATTAGTTTCCTGAGGCTGCTGTAACAGATGGTCATGAACTGAGCAGCTTAAAACAACAGAAATCATGTATTCCACGACGGCTGTGGAGGCCCAAGACTTGCTCGTTCCCTTGAGAGGCAGTGACAACTGCTGGTTTTCTTCAACATCCTGTGGAACCTTCCAGTCCCTGCCGGCTTCAGCACATGGTTCTTCCCTGCCTCTCCTCCTTCCTGAGCAATACTGTGCCAGGAGGATGGGCTCATTTCCAGATCCTTATTCTGGTAAAGGATCCAATTTCCATGTACAGGTATGGGGGTTTAGGACTTGGGCATATCCAAGCGGCCCACTGTCCAGCCCACTCCATGAGCAGCTCCCCTCTGGAAGCAACTGCTGATTCCACACAACCCTCCACACACAGATGAGAGAACCTTCATTCTCATTGCTAGGCCGCCACTGAGGCTAGACCAATCCCATAACCTGACCCAACTCACTTGCAACCATCCATCTCTACTCAAGGGTGTGTCTACTCCCAGAAAATCCATTTGTCAACTCGGGGACTATGCCCCACCCCCACTCCACAGATGGCTAAGACGCTCTTTCCCCAACAGGCAGACCCAGCTCTTCAGTCCTCTCCAGTCCTCTCTCTGCTTGGACAAAACCCTGCTATCTACTATCCCTTACTATTGCACCTCTAGTGCCATGG